GGAAAGAGTTTGCATAGCCCAGAGCTGCCAGGCATTGGGAGGAAATGCTAAGTGACTTTCAGAGTGATGAATCCCAGCTTCCCAACGTTTACCATTAGTGTCAGATTACAGACTCTTGTATTAGTTTCTTCTCACTCAAAAGTTAATTTAAGAGGCAAAAATGAGTCGATAAGAAACAATGTCACATACTAGATCAATACTGGGAATGTAGGAACAGGCTGAAAATTGAGGTTGGTTCCAGAGAGCAAGCAAAACATTTAAAAATTGTTTCTCATTATTACTTTCCTGCTTAGAGCTGTATTCTGAACTGTGTGTGCTTTAAAAGAGCTGGAGATATGACAAGGCCTGTATAGGGAATTTCCTTTAAATTATGCTTGTCACAGCTTCAGCTCGAACTGTGGGAATTGCTGAGGTCAGAACTGAATCTTGGAGGGTAAGATTAGACTGAGAGTTTTATGTAAAACAGTCATACTGGTTTTTAAGCCCACAAATGCGGAAATGTCTTCTCCCACCTCTCCTGTTTGCTTCCCTTCTTTATACTATCTCATCAACACATGTAATAGGTGCAAAATTGTTCTTTCTTTCTGTTTTCCTGCTTTCTAGGAATTTGCTAGTCTATTCTTGTCTTTGCTTTGTTATCCACATCAGTCAGTGACATGTTAGTGGCTTGCACGTGGAATATTTCAGTGAGATTTAGACAGTTGCTGGCAATTCTTACCCGTACATCTCAAAACACGTTGCAAAGGTAGATGAATGTTCCTCGTTGTATTTTAAAGGTAGCACAGAAAGGCTGAGAGGCTGGCCACTCGCACCGAGTTTTCTCCCCTGAAGTGATGTTTTATGCAGCTTTGATTCTTATATAATGTGAACTTCTTCCAGAAGGCAATCACATGAACATGATGTTTACTAGGCTTAAATAGTCCTTTTCCTGAGGAGAGGAATTATGTGCATAGTGTAAGGGTTCATACAGGTCCAACCTGGTTTAATCGTGCCCATCGGAGAGCATTCATATTGGGGGGGTGAAGAAATTAAGGAAACGCACCTTGGGCATCCCGGGGAAAGCATGGAACTCTCGCCAGTGAAGTTCAGTGTCAAAGGGAGGGACACGATTTCTGACATATTTTTTTTCTCTATATTCAGTATATCACGATTTCTTTACAGTATGCAGGCAGCACAATTTCTCTGTAAGTTTGGAGACAAGTGTGTGCTAAAGCCCCTTGCCAGACAGCGATGCATCAAGATGCAAGCAGCAGCGCTTCTGCCTCACTGTCAGGTTGCTTTCCCGAACAGGAGCTGATTTCACTCTGGCGGTGGGTCACAGGGCACCCTCTTTGTCAAGAGAAGGGCTTTTACTGCTTCAGCCTGATCGCTTTTCCTGAGCAGAGAGAAAACGTGTACGAAGGATTTCCCCTGAACATGTGGGCCTGTGTCTGCCTGTCTTCTCAGTTGGAAAATTTGTGTCACAGGACAGATTTTTGAGCTGTAGGCTAACTGGGAGAGCAAGCAGATGTGCTTCGTGCAGCTGGAACAGCTCTTCTGTCTTTTCCCATTCTTTGCTCTGCCATCTGTCTGCAGTAACACAGGGATGAAAATACTCCTCTCCTGTGCAGAAAAGATCTCACATAGCTCCAAAGCCATACGTTTTGCTTCCTCTTTTTTTTTTGACATTTGACAGAATCACAGAATCACAAATATACAGAATCACAAATATATCAGTAATTAGGTAACTGCATCTTTGTGCACTTTTTTAGTGATTTTCTTAACTTTTTATTTACTATCAGCCTTAAATATAAAACTATTAGTGAGAAAGCGAGATGATCTCTGATCAGAACTTCTCCAATCATGAGTTTAATACAAAACACAAGTGTTACTCCTTAGGCAGTTTTGTAGTTAATACAGTGCATCAGGTCACTCCCTCCAGTTTTTTCATTCGTGCTGATCTCAAAAGATCCTCAAATTTCCTTATATAACATCTGGGCCTACAAGACTGGAAGATGACCCAAAATCTGGATTTCTCTCTTTCAGTTCTCTGTCCACATGTGTGTGTTCAAAGACAGATGTTTGCTCTGGTTACTAAGATCATTCTCTGCATAGTTAACAGTTTTCGTTTTTTCTTCTGTGTACACTGTTATTTGATAGGATTTAGTCAGCTGTGGAAATCCAACAGCTCCGATTTTATTTATTCAATCTGTACACAAGTTTTCCTTCAAGTGGTGCCTACCATTTCTCACAGGTGCAGTGGGAATGCATTAACCCTAAGTACAAAGCGAAGAAGAAGAATTACAAGAACTCGGGCATTGTTATCCTCAACCAGTGCAAGGTAAGCTCTTTGCTAAGCTCTTAGCAATGTATTTTAATGGTGTTTGGAAGTGTAGACCCCAGCTCACACCAGCACTATGATCTACCACCCAATGGAGGGACAAGGAGCTAAACCCCCAGAGTAAGCTGACTGACTGTTGCCGCTCTCCTCGCCCGTTTCTCCACCACAGTTCTGGGCCAGACTGGGCAGTACGAAACTCTCACACCTACAGACCTACCACTTGGCCTTTTGTGTGCTTCCCTTCTAATCCTTCCATAATTTTAAAAAAATTACTCTTTTTCCTCCTAAAACAATTGCAAAATTTCCACTCACTGAGAAAGTGCAGAACTTGATTCAAATTTTAATGGGAGTTTTCCTTGCTGTAGTTTTAGAAATCTGCTATTTTCGCTGTTTGCATTTTTGTTTCTGTCTCAAACTATATTTAATCCTTTCTTCCCTTACCTTATTTTCAGTTCGTCCCTTCTTTCCCTCCAGTTTATTTTTTCTGATGTTTTAGCAGCACACAGCTAAGTTGAATGTCTTGCTTTCTTGCCTGCAGATCCACAAGATGCATTCTTTCTTAGATTATATCATGGGAGGCTGCCAAATACAGTTTACAGTAAGTGTCTTACTTCTCTTAACTTGTTTTAAAGAAAGGGAATCCCCCTAGATACTGATTCATTACTTGCACAGAGCAATGATTCTTACATGCCATTCCTTGTTGAATTATTAAAATCTTCTTGCAAAATATATTAGCCCCAGAAAATAAAACTATGCTAAGGCAGTAAGATTTTTTTTTCTTGCTCGTGCTGAGCATGTGGAGCTCCCCATAAACAGGAATACATTATTTTTCATTTCCAAATAATCATTTTTAGAAGCATCTAAAGCTGCATGGTTTTGATCTTTTCTTTTTCCAAACGGAGCTGCAGGATGTTTCCACCTTCCCAGAGTCCCATTTCTTTCAGTGGGAATGGGCTTGGGGTCGTTTGGAACTCTCACAGAACATGCTTTGTTGTTGTCTTAACATCAGTGACATTTCTGCTGAGCCTCTGCTGCATACAGGCAGTACAGTGCAACTGTGATTTGGAAGGGCACTCACCCAGGGAGGGAAAGCAGGATGCAAAAAGCTGTAGTGTGATGTACCTGCTAATTTAAGGCACTAATAAAGGCTTTGGTAACGTCCTGCTGTGTGTTCTCAGGGTCCTTTGTACATCTATTGTAGAAACACAGTTTGCAGTTAGAGAGAATGTCTCTGAAAAATGAAAGTCAATTGTTCCTTCACTTAAAACCCATTTATTAAGAAGTCTTTACCTACAGAGATCAATATTGCCGATTCCAGCCTGTTGTTTTTCTGCACCGCTTACTGCCAGGCCCCATGTCTCTTATCAGACATGTTCCCACAGAGGCGTCTGCACACAGAAGACATTTTCATCACATGAGAAAATACAGTAGAAAGGAGATGTAACAGTCACAAAGTGAACTGCAATAGAAAGATGTCTTGGATGGATTCTCTCCCAGGCAGGTCACAGTGCTGGGCAGGCTGGTTTGCTGCTGACAGATCTAGAGGGAGGTCCGCACTATGCAGGATGTTTTCGGTGCAGCAGAAATGGCCCTTTTACAAGGCTGAAGAAAAAAGCACTTAGTGTAGTTATTGCTGTTATGTAGCTGTAGGAAGGTGACTGGTATTTGCAACTAATATATCTAAAGATACACTGATAAAAATCAAACATATCTGCTATAAGAAGGATTCCTCCTTTGCTGCTCAAGATCAGCTCAGCTGTGCTATTAGCCTAGCTCCTGCAATAAGTTAACTTGGTTTTACAAATCCTTATCCTCTATATGTGCACAAGATCTTCATGCTGCTGGGTCATGCTAAAAGAGCTGGGTGTTGCTCTTTTGGAGGTATGGCAAGTAACAGTGGTAAGAGTGATCATCTTCCTTGAAAGTCCTTTCCTTGGAGTCAGACAGATTTGGATCCAAGTCTAGCACGCTGCAGCCAAGTACAAATAGTTATAAAGGCTTCTTCGTAGGAAATGAGGATATTTTGTGCTTCGCAGCAGATCTTTACTAAGCTTGCTCTGGTGAGGGTGTTTTTCTTTCCCAAACACTAGCCACACACTTTTTTCCAAGCTAACTTGAACCCAGAAAAAACAGCTTTGCTCACCAAAGTTAGAGGTGGAAAATCAGAAACAGTGGGGAAAAGCCATGTTGGCTTGACCCAGTATGATTTTTTCCTTTGAGTTTCTAGCCACAAAAATTAAGTTTCAGGAGAGGGGTGTAATTTTTTTTAAGGGAGCATTAAAATAACAGCTTTCATTTTCATTGTATAGCTGCAGCTCCAAGTGGAGAAGCAGCATGTTTGCAGAGGAGCTGGGATGTCAGAGTCCTGTCTCTGCAGCTTTCAGCAAGGACCTTGGCTGTGCTCTGCACTGTCACACCGAATTCTCTGCATTTGTCTAGTGAATGTCCAGGGGTAACAGGATTTTTGGAGGAAGAGGTCACCAGACAAAGCCATAAGGAAGTTTGTGAATGGTTTTGTACCCTCTGTGAGTCCCTTTGGGGTTTTTGCTGCTCCTCTCAGGATTTCCTAGAAAGCAGCATCACAGACAGAGGTGTCTGATCCATGGCAGTCAGTGCAGGAAGGTGCCTGCTGCAGTGTGTCTTCAGTGAAGAGCATTTTAAAAGGGAGAAATTAGTTTAAAGAGGATTCATTAATATTTACTATTGTGATGAATGCTTCCCCTAATCTTCTCTAAGCCTTTTCCACACAAAAGCCTGGGTGGTATTCAAACTTTATTTTAACCCTGCAGCTCACCTTTGAGCTTGCTATCTTCCGTGAAATTGGGAGAGTTAATTATTTAATGTCTAGATGATTTGAACGTAGAAAATGCCAGACAGGCAGTATCTACTACTACAGCCACAGAAATGTTTAATAATAACTAAGGAATGTCCCTAACTGGAGTATTAATTTATAATTTTAGTAGGACTTTTAACTCCTTTGGGATATTCTTGCTGCAAAGCTTTTATGTCCTGAACATCACCCGGGCTGTAATAATTTAATTAAGTATGAGAATCTAGAGATAGTTAATTTGATTCATTTGTATCAGAACATAATTTTCCACATACAATAATAGTGCAGTTCATTTTTTCCCCAATTATACTCATTTAGTTTTATTATGTCTTGTTTTATAAGCTGTCATTTACTTCTAGACACATTTTTTATGAATACTACCCTGAGTCAAATCTGATGAACAAAAATAGCTTTTGCTTTAAGGCCACAGTCTCTACAGACGACCGTTCCTGGAGAAGACAGGCGGGTGGTTTGGGTGTCCTTACACCCAGAAGATCTCCATTTCACATTGACGTTTCCTCTTTTCCAGGTAGCTATAGATTTCACGGCGTCGAATGGTGACCCTCGGAACAGCTGCTCGCTGCACTACATCCACCCCTACCAACCCAACGAGTACTTGAAAGCCCTGGTTGCTGTTGGTGAGATTTGCCAGGACTATGACAGGTAAATAACCACGGAGCTGTCTGTAGGACACACTGTCGCAGTGTGACACTGGCGTTTGTATTCACTTGCTTCAAACTGCAGGTCTGAGGTGCATTTTTAGGCTTAAAGTTGAAGGCTGTTCTGAAGATGTTCTGAGGTGGCCAGGCATTTGGTTCTGTCCTGTCCTACAGAAAAGCATTCCCAAAATGTTGTGCTTGAAACTGAATTTGTAGTTGCCTGAACTGCTTAGTGGCCGTGTCTATTCTAAGAAGCAAATGTATAGTCATTTTCCATGTTCTTCTGGCCTGTTGAACTTATAGTCTCTTCTAAAACAAGTATTGAAAGATCATGGTAATGTGTGCACACAACATGCTGTCAAATAAACAAACAAATGCAAGAAATTGGGCCAAAGATGATTTGAGGATATCATGCAATTCTGTTCCTTTCAAATAGGCTGCCTGCTTCTGTCAGATTAATTGCCCATTATTAAGATAATTACCAAGTACATTTCCTTTAAATGTGCTTGCTTTGTTTGTGAGGCACAATATCTTACCCAATTATTCCTTCTCATCTTTGCACATGTAATAGGCACCCACCCGCTGCTTTGCCAAATGTAAATACTAGATCTCAAAAAAACAATGACATTTCCAGTTGCATTTGAATTACGCTTTCTAGATAAATTGTGGAGTGACTTAATACTGTGGTTTGCATGTTGCATGTCACATATACCGATTAGCCAGCTCTGAAGCACTTCCCCATTTGCACGGTAATGAAATGTCTTCTCCAAGAATGAGGAAAATACTGCCCTGGTACAATTTCTGTAAGAATTTGATAGTCAAACTTAGTCAATGAGGCTGAGAAAATTAATATTTTATTATACACTGATAATTCCTCAGTGATTATCCAGTAATTTAATAATTGCTAGCAATAATTCAGAGGATTAATATACTTCAAAATGGGGAAAGGAATGAAAAAGGTTGGCTTATGCACAAGATTTTTTGGTTGTATCACTTGAGGTGCATTTTTTAAGAAAATGAAATAGTTAGAGTCATAGTCCCTCCTGTATGGAGAGATTAGTCCTAAATCAGGATTCTTCTCTCAGTGCACCATGTTCCAATCAGTACAAAAAATAATGGCCAGTCATTTCTAAATGAAGTCATCAGTTCTCTTGTGCTGCAGAAAATGCCTGTTGATGCTAATCAGCACAACTAAGGTTGTTTGAGCTACAGGCTAGGGCTGAACAAAAGCCAGAATTTCTTTCCCCAGGGAAATGTCACCTTTCTGGCATGTGTTTGGCCTAAACGTGCTCTCAAGTCGTGACACCATAAATACATTCCCTGGACAGGTTGATTCAACAAGGTCAGTGCTTTCTGATCCAAATGTCAAGTGAGAACCTTTTCTTTTATATTCATGAGTTTTGAATCCAGCATGCTGGAAATTAAAGCTTGTAATTTCTATAAAGAAGAAAAGAAATTCAGAGGAGCAACCTTCACACAAAGCAATCTACAAGTTCTGTATATTTTTTTCTTATAGTTTGGTTGCAGTACTTTTGCTACACTTTTATACCAAAAGATTGCTGCTTTCTTATATTTTGGGGGGCGGGGGGAAAAGCCTATGGCTATTGCTTAAACTGCTTCTGTAGTACTTCACACTTATTTGTCATTTCAGAGAGGCACTGGCAAGTAATATAGAGAGAGTCTGCACTAAAGATTCAAAATTTAGCTTTTTCTTTAAATACTCTAGTTAGCTCTGTCGATCAAGCCAGATCTCAGAATCTCAGTTTCTGTACATATCAGCCTAAAATAATGTATCCCAGCGTAATTAATGCTCCAAATTAAGTGCTGCCTCACATCCCTCAGTGCAGTGGAATAATCCCTGCTCATCCAAAAGCCCGTTTATCTGTATGGTTCTGAGACACTTAGAACAGTTAAATGAATAGCGGCGTTCTGCAAAGTTAGGCGTGAAAGAATAAGAACCATTCTTTCATCAGCAGTATTCAGAGAATGAGAACTAGGCTTTGATTATTACCCTGATTGTGGAAATGCTGCAGTCCTGTAGGAGTAGGCCAATCTGATAACAGTGTGGGGAATGGAAGAGCTGTTCACCTGCACAAAGGCTTAATACTTTTTATCTGTATGGTGGAATTGTTTCAGGCTATAACAACATTTGTCGTAAGAGAGGAGATAGAGATTGTGTGTGATACGGTCTCTGGCTAAGCTACAGCAGTAACGGATCATAAAGGAAGGAGAAACATTAATTAGTTTTAAGGAATTAGACTCTAAAATGCAGTTAGAAATACTGTGAAGGGGAAACTGCATAAAAAACTTATTATTTACAGTATTTGGTAAAATAAGCAGCCAGCTCCATGAATAAGAATTATTTTTAAGGTAAGTGACTCATGAAGGTTTACAGATGACCTCACAAAACAGTAAGTGAGAAATATACATTTTCATTTAAATGTCTTCATGAGCTTTCTTTTATATTAGGAATTATATCACTGGCATGGTTTTACCTTGAAATTGAGCAAGTTTGCCTCACGTTTTTGTAGCACTGAAACAGATGAAAATAATGAAACATTATTGGGAGCTGAAGTGTTTAATACTAACAGGACCAGTTTCTGTGTCATTCCATATTTATTCCTTACCTCAGTGATTTCAGTATTGAGTATTGACCCTCGGTAGCTTGTTTGTGAGGATAAATGCTGTTACACGCACACAATGGTAAAGACTCAAATGGTTCCTAAATGATCCTTCTATTCTTACAGATTGTAGTGATGATATTATGAGTGAAACCCATGGCAGGACTTGCATATCTGCTCCTCTGTTTGCAATCTGACTTCTGCACTTAGTAGATTTCCTTTCTCTTCTGCTTATTAAGAGTCTCATTATGTTACATTACATATTTATGTTTGCATTACAACCTCTGTTCTGATTCAGCAAGAGGCTAGAATTTATTAGAATTTATTAGGGGGCCAGTTGGCTCAGTGGTTTGAGCGCAGTGCTGGTGAAAATGACAACACCAAGGTTGTGGATTCGATTCCCGCTTGGTCCCATGTGTTGCCCGGTCTAGTCGAGAGGTGGCGTCCCTGCCCATGACAGGGAGGTTGGACTAGATGATCTCTAAGGTCCCTTCCAGCCTATGCCATTCTATGATTCTACGATTCTTATTATCTAATTCCACTGAATTCAGTCTGACTCAAGCAAACACTAAAGTATTATGCAAAATATAGGTGACACAAAGAGTTTTACTGAAATTGAGCTTTATTGTTAATTGTTCACTCCACATCCAAATGTTCAGTGCTTCCCGTATACCTGGATGAACTTTGTTTAATTTTTACAGACAGTTTTATATTTCTGCATACATTCTGAGTTCTTCACTGGATTAATAAAAAGTGCTCACAGACATGTGAGAATCAGCTTTCGTGTAGTCACATCAACGCTCACACCTTGAGAAGGTCAAAGGTTTAGATGTATTTTACCAAATACTTTCCAGCACTTGTTGCATTGGATATTCTTGACAGGTGTTCCACTACTGATCTGCACACTCATCTCATGATTCCATGGATGTGACCACATAGTTTGGTAAAGTGATGTCATAAAATTGGTCTTCATTTGGTTTGTGTTCAAAATCTACGTCAAAAATTAGTTCATCATTATTTTAGATCTCTATGCAAAGATACTGCAATTCTTTTTTAATTCCAAGAGCCCTTGAAACACACAGAAGATAAAGTCTGTTTCCTGACACTAATGTCCTTTTCCATTTAAACAGACTCCTTAACTCTAAATGCTCAAGTAGCTCCATGAAGCTGCAGTTCACACTGAGATCACGCATTAACAAATGAACTGCTTGTGTAAAACACACTTGTCTAGCAACTTCCCTAAAGGCCACTAATGAGCAAAGAGTACATTATTCCTGCAAAGTGCAGAAATTATTTATGTGTAGAGCTTTGTAAAATACTTGGGAGTAAAAATTTAAAACCTGGGCCGCATTTTACAAAACATATGGAAGTCCTGAAGTCAGTTTGATTTTCAACATCAGCTTCTGCAATTGGTGAATTGTAGCAGTAGCTGGCTAGATGCAAAAATTCCTCTTTGTGATCCCTTCTTCAGTGTTTTAGGCCTGAGCGGGTGTGTTCACTCATATTGAAAACTGTACCTAAAACCTTTCTTCTCTCATGCAATAAAGTGCACTTGAAAATTAAGAAGGGGGAAAAAATGAAAGGAGAAAATAAAAAGATCAGGGTTCCCAGTCCGGCACATCCCTTTCAGTGTAGATCTAAGAAGAGAAATACTGAAGTCAGATGAAAGGTTCATCTGTCCGAGAAAGGCAGATGTTGCTGTGGTTGAGATGGCAGTGTGCTAATAGTTCATTAAAACTAGGCCAGAAGAGTGATGCCTAGAATAACTGGCACTATATGCAACATTAAATCTTTCATGGAATCCCTACATAGAGCTATAGATGTTAAAATTTAATCTACCCATGCAGATCAATAAATAAAAATATGCTTAATTATTAATCATCTCTCTTTATCACTTTAATTACAGAAACAACCTTTCTGGAGGCTGTTAAGCAAAAAAGCTGATTAGCATATCTAAACAAGTTAAAAAACCTTTGGGGAAAAGACATGAATCTTTTTATTTAGTGCTTTAATAGGACCAAATTTGCATAGACATATAACAGAAGAAAACCGGAAGAATCTATACAAAAAAACTTGTAGCTTATCCTCAAGCTCAGGTGTGGGTAAACATATTCTGAAGTGTTTGGATAACCCAGGAGTATAACTGCACCAGGCAAAAGGAATTGCTAACACTTTTAATGAACAAACTGAACTGAAGATCCTTGGGTGTGTAATCATTGAGGATCTAGACTGTCACAATTACATAATATATGCACACATATTTAGTGTTTGCCTTTGCAGAACCTGTATGTGCAGACTGCTGCACACAGGGGTTTCTGCAGTCACGACGTTTTATGCCAAGCATCAGTGAGATTGCATAGCACCTCCTGCCGTAGAGACTAGA